CTGGTGCCGCCTTCTCCCATCTTCCCTGTTGCCTCACTTGGTGAAGGGTAGAGAGTCGAGAGGAGAATCACAATCACACCTGTAAGCGATCTGTCTACTCATCTTTGTGTTCATCCTTCTGCCCAGTCAACATTCCTGAGCATCCGCCGTGTGCTGGGGACCAGGGGTGTGTAGGTGAAGCAAGCACGTGCTCTCGGGATGCTGAGTCCAACGGGACTGTGGGAGAACAGAGGAGCCATAGTGTGAGCCCGGGGTGTTTGAGGAGGGAGAAACCCCATCTGGCCGGTGAGTCAGAGGAGGTGGCATCTGAGCCAAACTGAAGAGGGCAGGATGGATTGAGCTCTAGAGAAGAGGTTGGGGCCAGGGCTGAAGGGAAGGGGGTCTGATTGTGTCTGATGGAGAAGAGAACGCATTGCAAAGGGGTTGGAAGGGCAGCTGGGACAGGTTGAGAAGGTCTTGAAATTTGGGATAAACAAGGAGCTTTGACTTTGCTTTATAGACAGCGAGGACAGTTTTTTGCATTGCAGTGACAGTATGGTGCCCCCACTTTCCATCTGGTGCCGTCTGAGGGATTCGATGGTGGAAGAGAGAAGATGAGCCAGAGAACAGGCTGTGAATTGGGTTGGGTGATTATTGGGGCTGGGGGCTTCACCATGCTTCCAGACCCTTCGTCATGATCCTTTAGGTCCAGTGAGTTAGCAAGCACCTTGGGTGAGGCCAAAGTGGGGCTTCCTCTTTCTTCCCTCTTTTGCAGAAGTAACTTGGAGCTGACTGGACAGGAAAGAGAAACGTCGGTGTTGGCCAGGGTGCCTACTCTGGGACTAGGGAGTCCTTAGCCAGGCCAGCAGACTCCAGGAGATGCAGGAGGTAGAGACGGTCAGGAGAGCCAGGGGTGGGGTCTCCGGAACTCAGGGAGCGAGAGGAGGGGATGCCAGGGAGGGTGGGCGAACAAGACGCGGGGGGAGGCAGACCAGTGGTTCCAGTGCGTGCACAGTGGGGGCTTGCGACAGGGGCCAGCACTGGTTCTGT